GTGTCTCCCTAGCTTAAACAAAAGAAAGACAAAAATGTAGAAAAGAAAAATCTTAAGAAAAAAAAACTGAAAGAAAAAGAAAACAATTTGTCCAAGGGGCAAATGGACCACACAAACCACAGCCTCCCCTAGCTGTGACCAGAACTAGAAGATGCCCTATGACCATCCCCCACTGCTTGGATCAGGGTCACAATAGAAGGCCCTAAACAGAGTGGAAGGAAAATGTAGACTAATATTCAAAGTCATGTAACAGACCAGACTTACTTGTCTACTAGACTGGTGGGATCCTAAGGCCATCGCCCCGAGACACGCTTCAAACCTGGAACTAAACCCAGCCCTGGATACCACCTGGCAGCCAAACAACACCCGGACCCAGAAAGTGAATTGTAACACCTGTGAGGAATGTGCTTCTCAGAACTAGTGCGCACATGAGCCCAAAAGGGCATTAGGTGCCGAAAAACAAGAAGGCAAGAAGGGGCAGAAGCGAGGGATGCAAGGGCGGGGGAGCCAGGGAGTACATGCAACGTGAGTGTTACATAAAGGAAACGGTCACTTAAGCCAAGAAGCAACCTGAGTATGAGTTGATGGATTTGTTCCATAAATGTTCACCCAAGTCACAATAAACTATTAATAAAAGAGGGGTGGGGTATAGAAGGGGTACCCTTTCCTCTCAATACCCCCCCCTGCCCCAATGTAGCTCAGGTCTAGTTAAAAGAAGAAATGACCGACAGATGGTCTGTGGAGGTGGCTAGGTCCACAGCAAGCCTTCCTGGAGTAGGGGCCAAGCCAGGTGCTACAGCAGGTAGATAGGCAGATAGGGCCCCAGAAGCTATAGGAGGGGTGGAGCAGGATGTGGGCTGGGAGGCAGGGAAGATGGTTCAGGGCAAGTGTCAACCCAGCATGCCATCTGGTAGACCCAAGTCCTGCTTGAGCTACCTTAAGCCAACAAGTGACCGTCCCTCCACCCATCCGCAGGACTTGTGACTCAGACCCAATGAATCCAGCGTTGTTGTCAAGGAGTGGTAGAATTTCTGGCTCCAGTCCGAGTCTCAAGGCGTGGTCTGAAGTCTTCTGGGTGTGGTAGCCAGTGTGACCCAGTCGGGGATCATGTCCCTGTCCCATGCCTTCTCTCTGACTTGTGGCAGGAGAGGGAGAGTGGGGAATTGCCTAGGTCTCTCATTGTCTTAATCCAATACTGGCCCAGGTGCCTGGGCTCTGTTTGTGTTCCCCCATCAGCAGCTCCCGGGACAGGTGCAGCCCCCAAATGGGGAAGGGACATGTGCGAGGCTTCCAGAACCTGAGCAGGGCGTGGGCCTCACCTCCTGCCTCTCACTGCCTTGCTCGCTCCATCGGAGCCATGCTTGACACCTTGCTGTGAGTCTCTTGAGCACACTCAGCTGGCACCCACCTGAGGTCTTTCACTGACCCTCCCTCTGCCTGACTGCCTCTCCCCTAGCTCTCTGCCCACGTGCCATTAGCTAAATAGGCACCCCCTTGGTCACTCTCCCTTTGTGCTGCTTGATTCCGCTTCTGTGGAACATGTCTGTTTGTTTCACGTGTGTCTTCGTTGTCAGTCACCCCGCTAGAAGAGAAGCTGCACCAGGGCAGGAATAGCTCCATCTCTATTCACAACCGACTCTGCTGATGGGAAAAGTGCAGAGAAGAGCAGGCAGCTAGTAACTAAGGCTATCTCCTCACTCCTGGTCCAGTCTCTCACAGCCCCCTTCTATCGTCCAGGGAGGGAAGAGGGGCTCCAGCTGCAGAGGCAGCCCTCCCTTGTGTCAGGGCCACTCTGACCCCCGACATGCCATCTGAGGTAGGGTGTGTGATGGAAGGGCTGGACCAGAGATCCGTGGGGCCACTTGCCTCCCATTCACAGCCCTTTCCCCAACGCTGGCAGCAACTCTGCCCTTGGACCCACTGTTCTTTGCCCCCTTTGGCATCTGTCCTTCAGCACTGACTGAGCACCTGCTGTAGGCCAGGCTCAGGGCTGGGCCCTGACGGACAGGGATAAACAAAGCATTGTCTCCATCCCCACGGAGCCTCCAGCATAGTCACCACAACAGACAAGCAAATGCCACCCAATAAGCGTCCTAGTGGGGCAAAGACTCTGCCAAGGAAGCAGACGCGCAGCAGGAGCCAGGCACCGGGGAGGGCGGTGAGGGAAGGTTCAGAAGAGCGGGAGGTTTGAGTTCTTCCAGGAGAGTGGGATGGAGATGGAGAAGGGAGACCAGCATTGCAAGCAGAGCAAATAAGCTGTGCAAACTGCGGGTTTGGTAGAACAGACGAGGTAGGGACAAAGTGAAGCTGTGAAGAGAAGTGGGGATCAGGTGCGGAAGGGTCTTGGGCCCTTCTCTGTTGGCACTGGGCACTACTTCAGCTTTGGGGGCAGGGGTGACTTGGCCAGTTTTGCATTTTAGGACACTCACCTGGCCACTGTATGCAGAGTGGTTTGGAATGCCATGCTGGGGGACAGAATCAGGAGACTATTGGAGTTGTCAGGTTGGAGAGAATGATGTCAGGTCCAGGGGCAGGCACAGTGGCAGGTGTGGAGATACAGGGATGGATTCATGAGCAGACTCCATCCACTCGGTGGAGAGCCAGTCAGACCCAGTACTCAAGATCCCAGGAGCCCACTGCTGGAAGGTGCAGGGACGTGGAGCCGAGGAGCAGAGCTCAAGGGTGACCTGGCTCCCGCTGACCTGCCCCAGCTCACGGTCACTGACTTCACCAGAGGCCAAGCTGTCCTGTTTCTCCCAATACATTAAGTTCTTGTGGCTTCAGGACCCTCATGCACTGTCTACTCACTCTACAATGCTGTTCCACTCTGCTACAACCCCTCCCACACCCTCGCCCCTTGGTCTCCTCAGATCTTCCATGCTGATAGTCAGGCTGGGGTCCTCACCTAGCACTGAGTGGGTTTTGTTTGTGGGACTTAGTCCAATAGTAAGGATTCAGTGCTGCCACTTGTTTAAGCCCATTCACCCAACTTACGCACAAGCTCCGTGAGGGCACAACACTGCCTGGCTCACTTCCTGCCATAGCCAAGCACTCGGCCCTTAGCTCCTCCTCAGACATTTGTACGCTGGTTGACTTGGATGCATTTTGACATTCACGGTGTGGTGTCTATGAGTATTTGAATGTAGTCAGGCTCGCCCTTCAGTGGACAACTGTTGATTAATATGCGTGAACCCAGGAAGTTTGGGGCTGAGAAAGCAAAGTTTGGGCAGAGCGGGATAGCAGAGATCTCCGCAGCACAGCTCACCAGTGAGTGACCTCACACTGGACTGTTAACAGACGCAGAATTCAGCTTTCCTGCAGCAGCCACTCCTGCCACATTGACAGGACTCTAAGGTCCCAAATAAGGGAAGTGACAAGTCCCTTTTCTGTCGTCTGTCCTGTCATTATAGCCCAGGATCCTGATGGACAGTCCTGGCATGTCACCATCTACAAGAATGGAGGACAGGAACAGGGACAGGGTCTGCTCATCCTGAAGGAGCCCACCAGGGGGCTTGTGTGGGTGCAAGAGGCCAGTGACAGACATGGCACCCCCCGGAGGGGCCTCAGGAAAGCAAGCCACTTGTGTGTGGGTCTCTTTGTTCAATGACCCCCAGCAATGAAGCTAGTTTAAGTGGTGAGCTTTGTCACTGAGGAGTGGCTTCAGAAAGGTGGGGAGAGGGACTGGCACGCAGATGTCCTAGAAGTTCCCTCCCTTCTTAAAGTGACCGTCTTCCGGGAGGATAGGACACCGTTGTTAAATATTTGCTCTGCCTGGTAAAGCAACAAATGGACAGATGCCATCTTCCTGAGAGGCACCTACAGGATCCTGGGGAGATTAGGGCCCTCGGGCCAGGTTAAGTTGTAGATTTGGCCCATGGAGATGACCATGTCTACCTGCATGGTGTCCCTCAAGGGGCTCTTCTTGAACCAGAAGCCCCTCTCTTCGACTCATTGTGCTAGTGTAGCAACTTTTCCGTGGGATTGAACTCGCCCACAATTAAAAGTGAAGCAGCACGAGATCTTGATGCAAATGTGTGGTAATGAGGCCCACACCAGCCTTTTCTGATTCTCTCCAGGGAAATCAAATCTGTAGAGCGCGCTGAATTCGCCCATCGAAAGGACAAGAGGTGTAGAGACATGGGAGCCCTGGTGGCGGAGGTGAGGGTTGTGGACCCAAAGGTTGTTGGTTCAAACCCATCTAACAACTGGGTGGCCACTCCTGTAGAGTACAGCCTAGAAAGCCCGAGGGGGCACTGAACAGCAGCACCTATCAACTGCTTTCTTTTCTTGGTAATAATGCTCATAAGAAATCCTCTGAAAGCAGGTAACTGAATCACTCATTGATGCATACCGATTGTCTAAGGGACCAGGCCGCAAGAATTGAGGGGACACAAGTTGAGATGGTTCAACAAATTGATGCAGGGCGACAGTGCCATCTCATCTATGCCAAGAAACCTGGAAGACAGCCACCTGGCCGACCAAGAAACCTGGAAGACAGCCACCTGGCCGGGCGCCTGGGAGAGATCTATATGGCGGCCCCGACAGCCAGCCTGCAGAAATGATCGATGTGATCATTAACGTCACACACCAGAACAATTCTGCCGACGATAACTCACAAATGGCTGGAGCAACACATCAGCAGGGAGCCGGATTCAGAAGAGGAAGCAGGAAGAGGGCTACCCTTGCCGACTGACGTCAGCTGGATCTTCTGAGAGGTCAGTTGGCCAGCCTCTTTTCTCCGCCCGTGTCTTGCAGTTGCTGCCTTTTTTCTCTTCAGCCTGTGACCTCTTCCTATTTCAGCCTCCCTCTACCTGTCCCAGCCCTCTCCCTGAAGCAGGCCTGTCCCCGCCTCACCCAGCACAAGCCCTTTCCAGCTGCTGGGGTGACGCTCCCAGCCTTTCCATCTGGCCCCAGATAAGATAAGGCGGGGAACCCACACTATAAAAGGGCCTTCTCTGGCTCTCCGCCCAGCCTCCAGCTAGCTCAGGCCCAGGGAGAGCATGGCGGTCCGCCTGTGGCTCATCACCCTGGCTGTGACTGCCCTCCTCGCCGTGGACAGAGGTGAGTGGGGAGCTGGGATTCTCCAGCTGGCTGTTGGCAGACGGTTTGGGTGCACACCAGCTGGGAAAGTTCTGGGCTGGGACTTTGGGGTCAGCTCCTGCATGGCCATAAACGTAACGCTAGGAAGCTCAGAGAATGCCAGGAAAGGGTTTTATACTTTTTAAGGGCTTTTACCCCTTTGACAGCAGTTCTCAACCTCGGGGTTGCAATCCCTTGGGGGGGGGGGTCGAATGGCAGGTCCCGGGACAGGGAGCAGTAGGCCCCAGACCCCCACCCTGGGACCTAGGGCTAACACAACCCGTTCTTGCTTGTCTTTCAGAAGTGCCAGTGTCGGCAGTAAAGACTGTTTTCTCGAGGATGGTAAGGCAGTTGCTTACAGTTTGGGGTCCAGCTCTGCCCTCTCTGCTGCAAGATGCTATCAATGCTGGGGAGCAAGCGTTGCTCTCTTTCCACACCTGTCGGAGACTCAGCTGTCCATGCTGCACTGAATGGCCTGTGGAATGCCCCAACTGCCCCTCATAGCTCACCTCACCCCCTCACTCTGCACACAAACACTCAACTGTCTCTCTAAACCCTGATCCTCCTTGGCCCTGGGTCAGATGTCCCCAGTGATCCCAAGACAGTGGAGCTAGCCTATGTGAGTCCCTCAGCCCCCCAGCAGCCCATCTTCCCACCCAGCAGCCTCAACATCTGACCCCACCAGCTTATCTGAACTGTACCCCATTTACTCTGTATCAGACACAGGGCAGAATCTTCACATGTGCTATTTCAATTACTAACCCCACATGAGACAAACACTGTGAGTAGCTCTAATTTTCCCAGAAGAGGAAACGGAGGCCCACAAAGCGGAAAGAGCTCCTCCAAAGTTACACAGCTAGTCAGTGGCACAATGCAGGTGTCTCCCGCACTGCCTCCCACACCCCTGTCCTGGCTGAGGCTTCAATCCCAGGCCTGACCTACCCGGAGACCCATCCAGACACTCAGTTCAGTCCCAGGCCCCCCCTGTATCTCCAGTCTTCCCCACACTGAGCGAGCAGCCTGCCAGGTCATGCAGGCCAAAGTGAGGCCGGGAACCCCTGGGGACCGAGGGGCTGGGTCCTGTCACCTGAGCTCCTCGATGGCCCTAGCAGGACAGTTCCAGTTAGTCCTAAGGAGTGTGGGAATCTGTCCCCAGGAGCTTGAGGTCACAGACTCGTCACAGGCACACACTTAGAGATCTGCACGCTCAGGTTCCGCAGACAGGCACACCCAAAGACACAGGCACCCGCATGGCCACACACATAAGCAAACACACAAGGGGCTGAGTGATCGGGAGGCCTGGTGGAACAGTGGTTAAATGCTGTCCAGTAGCCACAGGTCAGGGGGTCGAATCCACCAGCTGCTCCTGTACAGATGTCATCTCAGGAACCCTAAGAAGCAGTTCTACTCTGTCCAATGGGACTTGCTGGCAGTGGGTGGGTGGTGGGTGAGGCCTCCTTGAATCCAAGCAGAGTCCTTGGGCTCCTGTCTGGCCTCTCTCTCTAAACCCCGGCCGCTCCTGCCTCCCCGCCTTCTCCCCCACAGCCCATCTGTGAGCATATGGCAGAGTCTCCAACCTGTCCCCAGACATTCAACCCAGCCTGTGGCACCAACGGGGTCACGTATGACAACGAATGCCAGCTCTGCTTGGCCCGGATGTAAGTCGCCCTCCTCTCCCTCCCCAGCCTGCTTGGGCGGGCCCCACAGGTCTAGAGGGAGCGAGATTCAAGCTGCTTCTCCCCTGAGGAGAGCTCGCCAACATTCTGCCCCTGACAAAATGGGCCCAAGTGTAATTCAAAGGCGGCCCATGGTTCCAAGCAGAGAGCCACCACTGGAGGGCAGAAATCCCAGGTTCTGTTCCTGGTTCTTGCACCTCTGACAGCCAGGTTGAGAACTTACTACGTGCTAGACAGTGAGGGTAACTGAGCCATCACTGGCCTCCCGGAGTTGAGTCAGTCTACAGGAAAGCCAGGCTGATGGTCGGGCCATTGCAGCAAAGCAAAGCCAAATCTCAGAAGCAGGTGAACCAGGTGCTACAGGCACAGGGCAGGCGCAAGATTCCCAGAGGAGGAGACACCTGAGCTCAATCTGGAGGAACGAGAAGGAATTAGTCAGGAAAAAAAGAAGGAATGAGGAAATAAAGTCCAAGTAGAGGAAAGAAGGGTTTGGAAAGGTCTGGAAGAGAAAGTTTGCATTTGAGGATCCATCCCATGACTCCACAGGAGGGTACAGTTTGGAGGGAGGTGAGGGAGAGGTGAGAAATGAGTGTAAAAAGGTGGGTAGGGCCAAGACATGACGCCAGTCCATCTAATCACCTGTTTGGTCTGTTTCTTCTCCAATAAAACCCTTGGGACCGGCCTGAAAGTTAAATAAGATCACAAAAGAGAACAAAACCCTTGGCAGCTGCACAGTTCTAGACAGATGGGCAGGAGAACAGAGGGATGCAGTCTTTAGAGAAAAAAACCATCCTCTTCATAGGAGATAGATTCCTGAGCGAAGAACTGACCGGCTTGGTGTGGGGCTGGCTGTGAGCAGGGAGGAAGGAAGGGCAACAAGCTAGTTTCTAGCTGGGCAGCTTGGACAGCTGGTGATGCCATGTGTGGAGCTGGGGGGAAGTATGGGGTGGAGCCAGTGTGCAGGATGAAGATGAGTTTGTGACTAGCTGAGCCTCTGGGACATCCCAGTAGAGATGTGCAATGGCCAATGGCAGGAACAGGCCAGGAGTTCGGGACCAAGGTCCAGGCTGGAGACGGAGAACGAGGGTGTCACAGATCCCGAGGTGGGGTTCTCACCAGTCTCCCTGTGATCCCAGGAAAACCAAGCAGGACATTCAGATCACGAAGGATGGCAAATGCTGACGTCCACAGAAGCCCCTCCCAGCATGAAGAGGCAGGCTGGAGAGACAACATGAAATAAACAAATAAAATATAAAGATGTAAAGTCAGCCCAAACCAGCTAAGTGGGCCAGTGTCTTTGGAAATTTGGGGAGGCATGTGGGGAGGGACTCCTGCACTACATCAGTTCCCTGATCCCCCGAGTGCTCCTCAACCGTCATGTGCCCACTGAGAGATCCCACGGGTGTTGTCTGTTGGAGAAGCCAGGAATATAAGAAGCCAGCTTTTGACTTCAAGAGGCTGCCCAGTGCCCGTCACCTCACACCTGACCTGTCACCAGGCAAGAGTCTAGGTGAGCTCTGCACCCTCCTCCACCACTGGGGCCGCTGCAAAGCTGTGGACCAGCCACCGACAGTCAAGTTCATTAACTGCGCACCGCCTAAGGACTCTCAGTCCTTTTGGGTTTTCTGCCTTGCAGACTAGTTTAAGCCTGTCATTCAAGTGCAGGGCCTATAGATGACCAGACCCTACAAATCTAAGCAACAATTTCTGCCCAGTGTGCCCACTTCGGTGGGCCCAGGGCCTGGGTCCCTGCCTCCACCATTTTCTTCTCGGACCAGTGTGTGTCTTTTCTGATATTCCTTGCTCTTTCAACCCAGGAATCAGCTCAGGTGATTCCACCAGGCCACACCCCCTGTGGTCACATTCTCAGGATGTGACCTTGATCCTCAGGTCACTGCTGTCTGCTCAAAAGATTCTCTCAAAGGGTTTTCAAATTCAAAGAAAGAAAAGCAGTTCCTCTCAGTCAATAAACCTACAAGGCAGTGGTTCTCAACCTGCGGGTCACGACCCGTTTGGGGGTCACCCGATTCATAACAGTAGCAAAATTAGTTATGAAGTAGCAATGAAACTAATTGTATGGTTGGGGGTCACCACCACATGAGGAACTGTATGAAAGGGTCACGGCATGAGGAAGGTTGAGAACCACTGCTAAGGGTACTGGCAGCCAGGTTTCCTGCCCTGGCTGCAGGCCGAGGGAATGATGGCAACATGCAGTTATGGAGGGGTGAGTGCCTGAGGCCCAGCTGCCCAACATTCCCCAAAGTATGTGGGACAATCAGTACCCTGTCAATAAAGGTGTGTCTTTGGCCCATCTCTTTGTTCTGCCACTTTCAACCGGAAGTCCCGAGAACGTTTAAAGCTGTGGTCTGAAAGCCGCCTAGAAAGCACTGGCTTACCAGACAATGTGAGAGACCAGACAGTTTCTCCAGCTCTGTGAAGCTGAAGGAAGTTTGTGGGATTCAGACGCCCTCATTCTCTGATGGAAGAACTGACCGTGTCCCTGGAAAGCGAGTGGCTGAGAAGGGGTGCTCTCTCCCTGCTCCCCAGCAGAGGCCCTGGGATGAACCATTCTGTGTGGTAGGTCCTTGAGCCAGGCCCCAGCACTAGCCTGCCCATCTGCCCATCTGCCCCGGACCCAGGCCCTCTTCTTCCCACCCTTAAATAAGACAACAGCTGTCACGCTGTACATTCCAGCACTGGCTGCGTGCATCCACGGCAAGTCCACTATCGATGTGTGGTCAACCTGCGTTCACTCTCCAAATATCTACAGAGCCCCCCTCACAGAATCTGCCTGCCTCCGAGGTTGTAATCTGATTGAAGAACTGATACAGATAAAGAATTCAGAATTGTGGTCCGGCACACAGCAGCTTCTCCTTAAATGTGGCCCAAGGCGACACAGCTACCAGTGGAACCTGTAAAAGCGGGAACCCGTGTCAGGTGTAAACTGGTCTGGGAAGGAAAACTCCAGTTTCCCTTGGGAGACCCACGAGAACAAGGCCATTCCGTTGAATTCCAGCTCTCTCAGATTTCACAGGATATAAGAACAGAGGGGTTCTGAGCCACTTATTAAAGTTGGGCTGGGCTGCATCCTGAGCCTCACCTGCCTGCCCATCCCTGCCACACGCATTAGCCCCTCTGGCCTAGCGTCCTGGGGCATCAGTGGAAGCCTCGTTGCAACACAAAGGGGACCTATAAGGAGCCCTCCTGGCCCTGTGCTGAAGGACGGCTGGCAGATCAGCGTTCTAGCACTCCGGGCTTTATTAAACACCAACTAGGTTCCAACCAGGGCCACAGGCAGTTTTTCAAAAGAGGAGAAGGAAGTTCAAACACTCTTCTCCTGGTGGATGGATATGCCAGTGAGTTGTTTTTAAAAATAACGCCAGGGACAAAGGCCACCAAGTGGACAGGAACAGCCTTGAAGGAAATCCTCAGGGCTTCTTCTTCTCAGAAGGGCACACAGGTCAACAGAAATGTCTTTGAAGGAAGTGCGTTCACCTCAGTTTACGGAGAGCTTCCCCTTCTGCTTGGCTCCCCTCTCTGCACTTCGTCTCCCACAGTTCTGGCCTGACTTCAAGCAGACACTAAGTCAACATGGGGTTCCAAGGTTCTGGAGCTGTGCTAGGGGACCAGACGTCCACACATCCATCATAGGCCTCACGCAGGGTCCCTGAGGGACGAGGACAGGGTGTGGGAACTAACAACTCAGCCAGTGTCTGGGAATCAGGTCATAATGCGGGATATTTGGTCTACACCTATTCTGGGCCATTCCCCACAACACAATCTCCTGGGTTGTGCCTCTATGGGCCTAGGGGATCACAGGGACAAAAGCGCCAGATGTCTCTAAAAACCAGGCGGCCTACAAGCATGAGCTATCTTAGGTAGGACAAATGAGAGAGGCCTCAGCCTGAAGAAAGCACCCAGAGGTGCGAAGCTGGGCAGGGGACCTTGTTTCCAACAGCCAGGCTCCTGGACAGAAGAGCCCATGGGAACAGAATGGGCAGAGACAGGGACTCGACATGAGTTTGCAAAGACAAGACTTCTTCATTGAGAACAGGTCTAGGAGTAAGAAAACTGGCAGCTGGTCACTTATACCCAGCAGCCCAGGAGAAAGCCGGTGACTTCCATTCTGGAGATGGCAGAGCAGGTGACGTGCTGTTTTTCGGGGCAGCGCAGCCCCCGCCGCCCCACCTCACTCCGCCAGGGCTAAGTTTGTGGACTGCAGCCGCTCCATCTCCTGGCCGATGTTCTGTTCCACCGTGTCACACTCGGCTAGGAACTCCTAAAACGGAAATGCGGGGCAGTGAGGGCTAGCCAAGCTCTGCCCCTGTGAAGCCATTCTGGGAAGCCCAGGGGTAACTGACTTAACAGGCAGCGAGTGCAGGGACAGAGATGGGTACCTGGCCTGAGCTTCAGAAGCAGAGGGTGATGGAGGGGAACTTGGGCCCAGGGCTCTGACAGTGCTCAAAGCCACCATCTCCCCCAAAAGACCCAACTACAACTGCCCAACCTCGGTGGGCACCATACACCTGGTAATCCACATGAGGGTGCCTCCTGGAACTGGGTAACGTGTCTGCCCTACCTACCCATCTGCCATCTTCCTCCCTAAATCGTTTTGGGCTCAACCGCCGACAGAAAAGCCCGTATCACACCCCTCGCTTCTACACAGCCCATATTCACGCACTGCCGCCGCCACCCCCCCATCACACTTTGTCATACTCTGCCACACAACTCACCTGAACCTTTGTCACCAAACCTTTCCTTTTCAGTCGACTCTCTTTGAAATCTTCTGGCAGAATCTACGGAGGAAGTAAGTCAACATGTAGACTGCAGTGAAAGGGGTGTGTGGGTGCTCAGGAAGCCTCATCTGCGTCTGTAGCCTGCAACTGCACTGCCTCTGGCTCTCATCCCTATACAAGCTCCCTCTGTTCCCAGTCTCTGGCCCACAGACACTGTCCTGTGGCCCGGGACTTATGGGTTTCCCTGTTTTCTGTGTAGGAAGACTCTGCTCCGGCCAGATCATGAGCTCACCAGGGCAGGAAAAGTGCCTTCTGCTTCTTTCTTAACCACCTCCACCGCCCCCTCAAATCCTGAGCACAGAGTTCACCATCATGCATGGGGCATCAGGCTAGAGTGGTCACTGCCATAAGCATGGGGCCGGGGTCACACGACATGCCTACAAGGCCGAGTCTGACTGCAGTCTGTGCAGGTGAGAAGCTTAACTAGAGGATCAGTCACCTGGATATCAGGAAAATGGAAGCCCGGGATTTCTCTGATCCCAAGATCAGCCTGGATCCCAGCTTCGTGATGGTTACCGCTACTTTAGCACATCAATCTAAACGGGCAAAGCCCCATGGTGGTAGGATTGTGAGTGTCCTGGTGTTACCACATACCCACCCAGGACCCAGCTCAGGGTGCAGCACACAGTGGACGCTCGGGTTGATGATGTCTCTCAGGCCAGAGGAGTGTATTCCTGACGGAGCGAGACCAATGGAGAGAACACTAGATTCTTCTCGACTTACCAATGTGTCAATCTCCTCTAAGGTCTTCATAAAATGCTCGATGGTTGCCTTCACTCTCCTGTCAAGTTTGCAAAGTGCTTCAGCCTGCAAATCCTTGGCCAGAAAGCCCTAAGGAAGAAGAAGGCATCACCCAAATGCGCTCCCAGGGGCTGATGGGATGCCCCCAAGGCAGGGAAGCTGCCGAAGCTGCCACATCGGGGGACAATGTCGGACCTCAGAACTTGATCTCTTGGAAAAACCGGATGGACGGGCCTGGGCCACACTGTGAGCTCACGAGCCTCTCTGCACCCCCGTGTACCACGGGGCTGTAAAGTCTTCCAAGGCCTGGCTCCACGGCGAAGCCCTCAGTCACAAGTGATGACCCACACCTAAGGTGGTGGGATGGGAGCACAGGCGTGGGAGTCTGCTTGGTCTGGGTCTGCAGCCCGGCTGTGCCTATGGAGATTGAGGGCCACACCGCTGGGAGGTCACTGTGAGAACAAGGAGAAGGTAGACGGCTACAACGCCCAATGTAGTAATTAACAGGAGTCACACTAACCAATGGCAGCCCTCGTGACAGTGGCCATCCAAAGCACAACTGGCCTCTCGCCACCTGGAGCAACGGAGGGAGGGAGAGTCGGGGACGGGAGGAGAAAATGGAATGTGTGGCTAGTTGCCTCCTTTGCTCTGAGATGGTGCCTGCCTACGATTCCTGAACATTTTGATCAAAATGTCTATGGAAGAATTCTGATCAAAAGGGAGGGAAAGTGCAGAACAGAATTTCAAATTCTCACAGACTAGAGACTTTCTGGAGCCATGGACATTAGGTGATGAATAACAATGAAATAATTAGGTAAAACATGATGCAGTCCTGTCTGAGGAAATGCTATTCTGCAAGCTTTTTGGGGGGTGGGGATGGGGAGGGGCGGAGGCTTTATTTATTTTTTATATAGGAAATTATTATCCAATGATATCCAATCCAAATCCAATTGCTATCCAATAAAAGAATGATTCACAATGTATACACATGGTCAATGTAATTTTCTTTCTTTTTTTTTTAAAGATAGGAAAATGTGCTCTAGGCTCTAACAGTGGTTCTTTGAGTTGGAGCCTTACAGGTCATTTTTATTTTCCATGTTTGTGCCTATCTCTTTAAAACGTGTGTATGATCAACACATACCATCTTTGTAATTAAAATACATCCACAAAACGAGAGAGAAAAAACACAGATGGTCTTCAACAGTTCCCAATCCTCACAAGGCTTCAGCACTTTGTCTCTAATACAAGGGACTGAAAAAGGGTGATCAGCTCTCTGACTAAGCTCACGCTCACCTCGGACAATCAATGAACTTACAAACGTCTCTCTCACACACACACACACACACAACAAATCCCACCAAGCTCACTGTCATCGAGTCGATGCTGACTCACAGTGACCCTGTAGGACAAGGCAGAACTGCCCCTGTGACTTCCCAAGACTGGAACTCTTTTTTTTGATTAATCACTTTATTGATGCTCTTACAGATATCCTATCATTCTACAGTTCAATCATATCAAGCACTGTTGTACAATTGCTACCACCATCGGTTTCAAAACGTTTTCTTTCTTCTTGAACTCCTGATATCAGCTCCCCTTTAATTCCCTCCCCCAAGACTGTAATCTTAATGTAGACAGAAAACTCTGGCTGATGGTTTCAAAATGTGGACCTTGTGGGTAGCAGTCCAATGTATAACCACTAGGCCACCAGAACCAGGCCTTGTTAAATGCACTCAAACAGGGGACTGAGGGGAGTCATTTGTTCATTCCAGACAACACATGAACCAGCACAGCAGGAGCTCTCCTGCAAGCACCAGTGGGTGCTGCCTGGGGTGTAACAGTAAGGACAGCAGCAACACATAGAAACCACTTAGGATGTGCCAGGCTCAGGCTATATCATAAGTCTCACAAGCAAGCCTAAGAACAAGAAGGTGCCACCTTTATTTCTTTTACAAATGGGGAACTTGCCCAAAGCAATAGTATGAAAGGGTGGCGGCAGGAACTGAAGTCACAGGGTCTGGGTGTATACCGTTGAACGCAAAGCCTGCCTTTGTACATGTCACATGGCCCAGATCGAAAGTCCTTAATGTACTCAGAGCAGATGGAAGGTCAAAGGCCACGAGCAGAGTTACCTGCTGGATTCCAGCAAAATCTTTACTCAACTCTTCCAGTTGGCCAGCTATCTTCTCTACAGCGTTCTCCAAAGCTTTCAACTTCTTTAATTCAGCTTCTTCCTCTGGGCAATTCTGAAATGTTTAAGCGTAAAATGAAGTCAGTAATCACCAAGACCAGTGGCTGTTTTCAGCAGGGGTAAAATCTGATCACATTTAGGTCTAACCACTCTCCTACAAAGAAGAGTCTCAAATCTGTTGCTCTTTGGAAAAGCAAGCCTGAGGCAACACAGCAAGGTGTTCCGCCTAGAAAGGCTCCAGACTAGAGAAGGTTCAGGTAAACACACTGGTGAGCGCCTGAGAGCTTGCTCATAGAATGGAGCCAGCTCAAGGACCAGATTCGGCCTCCGCCCAAGGCTGACCACCAATGGCCAGACTGAAGCTTGGAGGGTGAACAAATTGCAGCGGAGCCCTGTGAGGAGCCCAGAGACAGAGATGGTAGAAGTCTACGCTGCCTTTAAATAGAATCCTGGCATGGTACCCTCCAACAGAGCTCTCCAATTTAACCTGACAACAAGGATGGATACTCATATCAAGCACTCCCTACAAGCCAGGCTGCTATTCACACTCACTGTCCGTGGACCATGAGGCTATTGTGCAAACAGAATCAGGGAGTATTCCATGGTGTAAAATAAGGAACGTTGTGCAACAGGGTTGGGTCCTGTTACCACTTATTCAACCTGCATGCTATGCAAATAATCTGAAAAGCTGGACTATGTGAAGACGAACAGGGCACCAGGATGGGAGGAAGGCCTCCTAACAGCCTGCCGTATGCAAACGCACATCCTGGTCCGCTCGCTCAAAGTGAGGACCTTGCAGCTCTTGCTGATGAAGATCAAGGATTGCAGCCTTCAGTATGGATCCTGACTCGATGTGAAGAAAACCAGAATCCTTACAACTGGACCAATAGCCAGCGCCATAATAAACAAAGAAGAGATGGGCGTTTTCAAAAGATTTCATTTTACTAGGATCCACCATCAACGTTCATGGACGTAGCAGTCAAGAAATCAATCAACGTCTTGCAGAGGACAGATCTGCAGCACTAGAGCTCTGTAAAGTGTTTGAAGACTAAAGCGCTGGTATTTTCAATTGCCTTAAATCCCTCTGGAAGTTGGATCATTAATAAGAAGGACCAAAGAATGGATGCATCTGAATTATGGTGCTCTCGAAGAAAACACACACTGCCAGAAGAACAAGCCACATGTCTTGGAAGAAATACAACCGAATTGTTCCTTCGGACCAGACTTCATTCTGGGTACTCTGGACATGTTGTCAGGCGAGGCCAGTCCCTGGAGATGGTAAAGTAGTAGGCCAAGAAGATCCTCAATGAGATGGACTGACACAGTGGCTGCAAGAATGGGCTCAACAGAACCACCGAGAGGATGGAGCAGGTCCGGCAGGGTTTTGTTCTGTTGTTCATAAGGTCGTAACTGATTAACTGACTCAACAGCACCCAGCACGATGCCAGGCACTCTCCTAAACACTTGGCCTGTATTTTTAAAAGCCTGACCACACATTATGAGGGAAGGACTGTTTTATAGATAATGTAGTAAAGTTACATAAGGATAGACTTGAGAGTTGAATTCAGACTGGCGTCCACATACCCAAAGAGGGCTCCAACTGAGAGACTTACAGCTTCCTCAAACTCAATCCTTGGGTTCTGCCCATTGTCCATTATCATTCTGTGACCTTTAAGCAAAAATAGTTCCCCTCTCGCACCTAGATAAACCGCAGCCAGGGCCAGCACGTTGCTGCTTTATTACACTATCTCAAGTTGTTCAATCCTCTCTAGGGCCGAATCCCCAGTCTCACTCCCCTGGTGATTCCAAATCTGAACTCAATTTTCTTTGCTCTCACGTGGCTGATCTCTGCCCTTTCTCCACGCAGCGCCAACCAGTTCCCTCAAAATAGGTGGCTCCCTCATATGACCAACAATCTCGTTGTGTCACAATGCAGGGCTGACCCCTACCCCCTACCCCCACCCCCACTCCCACCTCAGGAGCCTTCAGCTGTCACCAAAGGACCTCACTCAATGTTGGCTTTGCTCACCTTCAATTCTTTAGTCTAACTCGTTCCTTCTAGCCACAGAGGGTCTCCACCACCACCAGATGAGTAAGAAAGGGGGAGAAGGGTTCTTGAAACATACCCAGGGCACTTCTTTTGAAAATCTATAGATTTATTTTAACAAAAGCTCTTTTGCCAGTCCCACTTTAAATGAGCAAGCCCTGCCTCCAGCACCTGTTTTGCTTTTAACCAGATTGGGATTCCACCATCAACCCAACAGCCCCTTCAGAGGGCGAGCATCGCCACTCCTCCTTCTCAGGGCGCCGGCCCTCACCAACAGGAGGGGAAGCGTGGGTCAGCAGGTAGAAGAAAAAGAAAACTGGCAACCCGGCCCAACACATGCATCTCACTGGAGTTTCAACGATGCAGAATGCGGATTCCCAGTTGGGTCTTTTGAAGAGAACCGTGTAGGAGACACGGTCATTTTACCTTTTTTCCAATTAGCATGACCCGGCAACCACTGTGTATCCCAAGTGCTGACAAAGGTTGTTCCATATCCTTCAGAGATTTTCCTGCAGGAAGAAGGAAGGTGCGCTGAGCTGGGACCGGTGTCCAATAAACACTGAGATCAACTTCAGACAAATGCGTTCCCTACTAAGGAGATGATACATTGATAACACTGTCTGGACCCTGGAATGTTACATGTAGGTATTTCTCCTAAACCAGTGGTTCTCGACGTTCCTAATGCCACGACTCTTTAATACAGTTCCTCATGTTGTGGTGGGTCCCCCACCCATAAAATTATTTTCATTGCTACTTCATCACTGTCATTTTGCTACTTTAATGAATCAGGCAACCCTTGTGAAAGGATCGTTTGACCCCCAAAGGGGTCGCAACCCAAAGGTTGAGAACTGCCATTCTAAGCAGATCACCAGACATGGGCCTACACAATAACTATCGTGTAGGCACATTTCAGGCAATCTTACTTATCATTGTGAGAAACGAAAACAAGCCCAATATTCAGGAGCAGCGGACTACCATACAGTAAGATGCAACTACACAGAAGGATACTTTGCACTCAGTAAAGCTCATTTCCCCCTGGCAACTTCAACGCCATGGTGAATAGGGAAGGGTCAGTTTTACTTTTAAAATGCTATAAAAACTCTGTAATCCCATGCTTACTTTGACAGCACATAGGCTAGCCTCAGAACAATACAGAGAAGTTTCAAATGGCTCATGAGCAAGGGTGACACAGAAGCTTGTGAAATGTTCCATATTTCTAAATTACACACAAGAAACATGTTAAATGGGCAAACGTTTCATTACCTACATGTTTATAAAAAAACATATGACATTTAAGACATGATAAAATAATAATAATTTATAAATTATCAAGGGCTTAAGGGGGGGGGGGCCGCAAACAAGGGGAAAAATGAGGAGCTGATACCAAGGGCTTAAGTGGAGAGCAAATATCTTGAGGAAGATGAGGGCAACGAATATACAAATGTGCTTGACATAATTGATGTATGTATGGATTGTGATAAGAGTTGTATGAGCCCCCAATAAATTTAAAAACAACAATATATGACAGAGATGTGTCACACCCCCCGCCAAAAAAAAACCCTTTTAAATACCCACGTGAACAAACTCTACCTTGCAAAGCTAAATCACACACACCAGTGGAGAAATATGCTGAACCTTGTGGAACTCCCATTTAAAACGGAAGAGACAGAGCAAAAGCAAAAATGTACTGGTCCCTCCAAAATAAGGGGGAACCAGTTTGGCCAATCGTTTATTGTCATAAATTTTGAAAGTGGGCGGGACAACAACATTCAGTGGCTAAGAAGATGAGTGGCTCATTAAGGCATGGAAGAATAAAGTTCTACAAAGCAAGAACAAAAACGTCTATAGTCCATCTGATCCCAATTCTGTCAAGAAAACAGACATAAAGAGAAGTACAAGTAGAGAGACATACACCAAATCTAAGAGATTTTAACTAGGGGAACCTTTTCTACTTTGTGCTTTCCTTTCTTTCGAAACATGACCTATTGCCTTATAATCAGATAAGGATGATTTTCAAAAGGCAGTGCACCCTAAAGCCTACTCTGAAGTATAAACAACGCTTTCTAACACTGAATCCTTTCTAATGACTGGCACCAAACAGAACTAGTCTGTCCCTCTCAAAGAAGGGAACCCCCAAAGGAGCGAGAAGGCAACCAGGGTAGGACTAGGGGTCTGGCAGTTATTAGCACCTTGACTGGGCCTGCCACCTCCAGGCCTCTCTGGTGCACCACCTTCTCTGGGCTGGGCACTGGGAAACATCCAGGTATCTTGGCCCATGGAGTTTATTATTCTAGCAGCTATTAAGCACCTAAGACAAAAAATTATTTAATAGCTATCTCAATATATCTTATAAAAAAGTGGTTGAGGGTGTCATGCAACCCATCTAATGAGAACAGGACAAAAGCCTAGCCAGGGAGGGCTGCCCATGGACTTGACCGAAAATAGTGAGGTCTGCCACCATCGTGTGGCTTCAGCAATTAGCAAGTCTCTGGTAAGCAGTTATTGAAAGAATTAATAAATAAATGAGTATGAATAATGTGTTCCCATTGGAAAAGTGGTAGAGCTACCATTAAGTGAGGCTGAGAGGTTTTTAATCTGCCCTTTAGCCACAAGGGCTCAATGCTAGAAAAAGACATGCCTACCCTTGAATATGAGTTTCTGACAAGGCCGCAGGACCCCTGTAACCTCTTCAACAACCTCGGCCAGGTCTTGAACGATGGGTTCTTGGGCACCCTGCTGTGGGGTGACATGAATGTCGTACTTCTCATTGCCTGGGGAGAAAGAAAACCATTGGGTGATGCGGGTGAGTTCACTTAAACCAATATAAAGACCAAACTCACTGCCCATAAGTCAATTTCAACTCAGTGCTCCTCTGGGACAAGGTAGCACTGCCCCTGTGGGCTTCCGAGAATGTCAATCTTGACAGAAGTAGAAAGCCTCGTCTTTCTCCCACTGAGAGGCTGGTGGTTTTAAACTGCTGACCTCAAGAATAGCACCCTAAATCGCAACCCACTGTGCCACCAGGGCTCCGAAACCAGCAAAAGCAGACCTCTTAGGCCCCCTACTATGACGAGCCTGTTTCTATCTGCCCAGTGCTCCTTTTGGAACCTGCTCAAGGATTTTGCTTTCCTTTATAATGTTCTGACGAGTTCAATTCATGGTGACCCCTTAAGTGTCGGAGTAGAAATGTGTCCCACAGAGTTTTCAATGGTTGACACCCCCCCCCCAAGTAATTGCCAGACCTTTTTTCTGAGGCACTTCTGGGGGGACTTAAACCTTCAACCTTTCAAATAGCTGAGTGCATTACCACCATCCACAGGCTTACTACTATTATTGCTGCAACGAACAATAATATTAGCAGCGAACATCGGGCACTTAATAAATACATTAAAAACAAAACTCAAAAATGCCTCGTAGGGTTTCCATGGCCAGCAGCAAAGTGCCCTATCCCAAGGAGCTGCTGCTGGGTTTGAACTGCCAACAGTCCAGTTAGCAGCCCAGCACTCGATCGCTGCAGTACCAGGGCTCCTTATCAAATGCAGAATGGGTTTTAAGAAGCTCATTTCAGGAATCACCTTTTATCTACTTTCCGGTCAGTTAAGGACTTGCCTGTGGAGAGAGACATACGCAGCACCGGGAAGAGTCAGAACTGTGACTCCAGGTCCAATACCACAGCCCAAGCTTTTTACCACGAGCCATTCTGCGAAGAGATTGTCCTGTTCCCTGGGCTCAACTGCTCTCATCTTCCTCACAGTAATGTCTCTCCCACTGGGTACACCTGGTGCACGGTGAGTGCTCAGAAAATAAATGCATGAATAAACCCCAACAGAATTCTCTTCGGAATGCAAGTATCACTTTCCCAGGTGTGTGACCCCGTGTCCAGTGCATTACACAGGCCTTGAGCCCAGGAGAAGATGGGCAGCAACTCTACTTCCCAAGAAGTACCTCTCAGGTACTCAAAACTGCCAGCGCTAGAACCCTGGCCTTTTGATTCGGACCCTGGGTGGCACTTATCTAAAGGAACCGCCTGGACTCAGAGTGAAGTGAAACTTGGCAGTCACGCACAACATCATCCAATACAAGCCAGACAAGGCACACATCAACACACGGCTGCGGAAAAGCCACCCTCCAACACGTGGCCAGAGGCAGGATACAAACACAGCCACATGCAGATGCAAGACTTGGGCAAAAGCCAGCGGCGCCGACACGGCCAGGAACCCACACTTCCGGACGCCCGGGCAAACACAAGGGCACATGCTTCCAGGGGCTCAAGGCCAAGCCCCTCCGGGCCCGGCCCGCGCCCACCCGGCACTTACTGTGGGTGACCGTCAGGTTGAGCCCGGTCGCCGCCATTTCCTCGCTCGGGGCTACGTCCTCGCTCGGGGCCACGTCCTCGCTGCTCCCAGTCATCTCCGCGCTCCGGGCGGCCTCCTCTTTCGGGGCCACCTCTTCGTTCTTGGCGATCTCCTCTCTCCGGGCCACCTCCTTGCTCTGGGCCATCTCCTCGCTCCTGGCCTTGCGGGGATGTGATTTCTTCTTCACCCGCGGCTTGCGAGCGCCGGCGGCGGAGCCCCTGGTGGATCGGTCATGTCCGCTGGTCTTGCTTCGCACGGACCGACGCTGAGACCGGGGAGACTTGCGACCGGCCGGAGTCTCGACCTGGCA